TTTCAACCATTCGACCAGTTGGAATTCGGCTGAAACGATTTTCTCTATGTTACGTGTCGCCTGTAGGTGGCGTGATGGTGTGAGGTTTACACGTGTAAATCCTCACCGCGTGTTTAGACGTCATTTAGACGACAAAGGTAGTGGCAGACAGACGTAAAAACACTATTATAATTATTTTTTTCAAAATTGTGAGGATTTCTTGTTAATATCCGCTCAAACATAGTTATACGGGAAATAATTTGGAAGTTATATTTATTGTTGATTAGTTAGATTCTATGTTTGTACAGTTATCCATATATATATATGTTTCTTTGTCCATGAGACGTTTGAAAATGATTTGTTTTATTGAATAATTCAGTCGCAGTGAAATAGTTTTTGTATTTGTTGTTGTTTATCCTATTGATTAATTAAATATATAGAAATGATTTTACACGGTATTCAAATATAAAAAAATCACTCAACAATAATAGCTCAATAGAAATAGAACTTTCACTATCTGTCTGTCTGTTGTCTCTCCTCCCCCCCCCCTCTCTCTCTCTCTCTCTCTCTCTCTCTCTCTCTCTCTTACTCTCCCCTCTCTCTCCCCCCCTCTTTCTCTCTTACTCTCTCCCTCTCTCTCTCTCTCTCCTCTCTCTCTCTCTCTCTTACTCTCTCTCTCTCTCTCCTCTCTCTCTCTCTATCTCTGTCCCCTCTCTCCTACTCTCTCTGTCTGTCTCTCTGTCTCTCTCTCTCTGTCTCTCTCTCTCCTACTCTCCCTCCCTCTCTCTCCCCCTCTTTCTCTCCATCTGATTATGTATACTTGTATCTAAACTTTTCACCCTGACTTTTCCATATATCTTGTCCAATTTGATAGGGAAATGGCTTAATATAACATGGGAAACTTGCGGCCAATCCCGCGTTATGTTTGATACTGATACACTATGTTTAAATCAATAGATGCAATATATAAGGAACCGATCCACCTCCTTGTATCAGTATCTAGGGCTTTGGTTTATTTTTTTTATTGACCCTATATAAATGATGATCAGGTGGCGTCTGAGCGAATACAAAAGTGTATAGGGTCACCTGCCCGATCGTGTTGGTTATCTCAGTGTACTCGTGTTTCCTCCCACAGTAAAAGTCCTCGTGCTCTTACATCCGGATAAAAAAAAAAGATTGATAAAAGCATCACAATTTTTAGAAAATGAATGCAGTTTATATATTTATCTATTTATTTTGCAACATATTAATATCATTTACCAGTATTTCATGTAAAGTAAATTTTCTGTTGTTATCATCTCAATCTCCAAATAATATGGCGAATTACAAATTAACGACAATTCTGATCTATTGTCTAACGGAAAGAAGTCAAATCAGATGTCACAGTATCACAAATGCACGGCATGAAGAATTTATTGTCGAAAACATGGAGAGTTTTATTGTGTTAGTCAGGTCCCAAGACAAGTTCAGGATGGGTTTAAATTACAACTGACAATTTCCCGTCTTTCTGTTATATCGGAGTCTGAGATGTTTTCACAGACCATCTTTTCTGCAGCCATTTTAATTCCCCAGCTCTCCATGATGTACAAAATGTAAAACAGTGTGCTAATTTTACACGCTTTCCGTTGTCATTGGCTGGTTTAATTGAGTTTTCAATTTCCTTTTATTAATTTCTAGGGAGTCATGCGTGTTTTGTTATTGTGTTCCTAAATATCTACGAATACAAATCCGAAATATCCGAATCCCTAGTAGCCTCGAAAATTATATCCAACTCAACCTCATAGCGCGGGTCTGTTTTTTCCGATAAGCTTGGTGGTTCAATTGCTCTCTGAAATACTACTCAGAAAATGACATTTGCTTCCATGACAACCTGTATCTATAGATCTGTAGGGAACCAGTGTTGTTTCGCTGAATAAGAAAAAAAGGACGGGATGTTTGTTTTTGTTGGTAAGCCTATATTTAACCATTTAAAATACCTACATTTACCAAAAGCTGTTAGTACAGCATCTATTAAAGATTTCTTTGCAGAAAACGCAACCGTCACTATTAAGGTACTGCATACCTTAAGTCCAGCCGCACGGTTTAAACAAACCCATGCTACATATCTACTCCTGACAGATAGAATAATACAGAGTAGAGAGATGCTGGTCGGGAAAAATGACTTGGGAAATACTGTTCTTCCTTGTAGGGTATGAATTTGGTGGGCGTGTTCGTTGTTCGTTACACGTAGTACAACTGGCGGTTGTGTTAACCGTATTTTCATATGGATTTCAATTTTATTTTAAACATTCCATCTTAACTCACTAAACACACTTTAATATGAAAACAACAAATACTGTTTGTAAATATCACAAAAATTAATAAGCTGATTGTGCAATACAGTTCAAACACAGGAAATAGCATTACATTATGTAGGTGCTGAGGTAATCGGCAAAGTTTGGTGAGTCTTGTGTTATGAACAGTGAGGTTAAAATCAGGAAGGCCGAGGTAAGTTGCTTATATAGACTATGTAGTACAATATGTTTATGGGTCATTTTTATGTCAATAATTTAAATTGTTATTCATCATGACGTGTGTGTATGATTGAACAGAAATAAAATGTTATGGTTACTGAATATTGGCATAATTATGATATCAATTTTTAATAGCCCGGGGTTAGTTTAAGCAGTCGTTATATTATGAAAACTGGAAATGTTCAGATTCATTTAAAATCATGATCCTATCAGCGTTTCACGGCTATAACACGCATAATGATCAAGTTTAAGTGATGCTTGTAAACACATTTTATGTCGTGTGTTCATCCTGAGATCGATGTGTTTAATTACTCAGCTGACTACGGTGCCGGTACTGTTCCATGTCATCCGTCATGCGCTCACGTATGTCTACGCCTGGTCTTCCCCAGTTCCTGATTAATCCGTCAGATGAAAAAGCTTCCGAAATAAACAAACAATTTCTGGACTGATGTAATAATATTGGCCCATTACATGGAATGGAAAACCCGCAATATAGAGAAAAAAGAGAATGTCAAACGTCAAGCGATGAACTTTGGGTGAAAGTCATTCAATGGCCTGCTGGTAGAAGTCATTCCCTGTTATTGTCGGTAGCTGGTACCCATTACGTTGTTCCACCAATTACTTAGTTGTCAGTCTTTCTTTAAGCTTTCATTTCTGCGAATTAAGTAATGTTAATCACTAAATCCGATTATTTTATACGACTTTTATATGATTTTAGGGGGAACAGCTATGACACACACGCACACACACACACACACACACACACATGCACACACCCACCCACCCTCACACATGCACACACAAATTTACAAACACACACGCACACAAACACCACACACACACCACCACCACCACCAACAACAACAACAACAACAACAACACCATCACCACCACCACCATCACACACAAACACCACCACCACACACACACACACACACACACACACACACACACACACACACACAGAGTTTTCTAGCATATGATAGGTAAGTTCACATTTTTACTTAAAATGTAACAGAATGAAGACAGGTAACCGACCATTTTCCCTGTGAAGGGTGTCAATAAAATCACCATTAATAAAATGATACCCAACATGATACATGCATCTTGACCACTTAACAACCTTGATCAATAAAATAATGCTGATCTTTGCCGCTGTGTCTTCCACGACAAATGTCTATCGACAAAATGTAATCGGTTAGTCGCCGAAGAGTTTGTGCAAAGTTCGGAAAAAACATCATTATCTGTCAGGTTATTTATCGAATCAACGTCACGTGACTGAGATTGGTATGTCACTGATTACATGGTGAATTACTGAAAACAAATCGCAGGATTACCATTAATTTCAATTAACGTAGCAACAAAATATAACCTTATATTCTTGTCAGTGTAATTAACTTTTACCACTGTTATTCCTTTGTGTTCAATCTTAAACAATTCGTCTATAGAAATAAAGAAGCAAGGTACATGCATATTGATATGAATACTGTACTGGTAGTAACATAGAAGGCAACCTGCGGCAGGTAGAAGATTTCGATGGGTGTAGAACTGGATTACTAGGAATAATATAATTATGGGATAGGAGGGAGACATCAGATAAGATAAATGATTTTGTGACAGGGAAAAACGAGGGACCTGCAATACGATAGGTGATTTAGCAAAGGGGGACAAAGCGGGATACCGGAGGTACCATTGATGATATAGCAACGGGGACAAAGCGGGATACCGGGGATACGATAGATGATATAGCAACGGGGACAAAGCTGGAGATCATGAAAACGATAGATGATATAGTAACGGGGGACAAAGTGTGATACCATGGAAACGATAGTTATTATAACAACGGGGACAAAGCGGGAAACCATGGAAACGATAGATGATATAGCAACGGGGACAAAGCGGGATACCGGGGATACGATAGATGATATAGCAGCGGGGACAAAGCTTGAGACCATGGAAACGATAGTTGATATAGTAACGGGGGACAAAGCGGGAGACCATGGAAACGATAGATGATATAGCAACGGGGACAAAGCGGGATACCGGGGATACGATAGATGATATAGCAACGGAGACAAAGCGGGATACCGTGGATACGATAGATGATATAGCAGCGGGGACAAAGCGGGATACCGGAAATACGATAGATGATATAGCAACGGGGACAAAGCGGGACACCGGGGATACGATAGATGATATAGCAACGGAGACAAAGCGGGATACCGGGGATAGGATGGATGATGTAGCAACGGGGACAAAGCGGGAGACCATGGAAACGATAGGTTTCTGTACCAACGGGAACAAAGAAAATTAGGATATATGAGGTATGACAAATACTATAGAGACAGGAAAAGTGGGAGACATGGATACAATAGATGATATAGCGACGAGAATAAAGCATGTAACACTGAACAGGTGATGAGGTTGATAGCCGATGCAGCTACATTATTTAAGTAAATGGTCTGGACGTTGTTGTGTTCTATCATACTTTTTATTGCTGCCTTACAGGTCAAACTATCCTTTTTCAAAGACGGCGAGGAGAAACGTTTTATCGTTTTTGACGGATCCGGAAGAGATAAGATGAACTGGATGGACTGTGATAACATCCTGTATTCCTCCTATAGTGATCTGTCCTCAGCCTCACCAGAAACGTGTGAAATAGGGTGAGATGATATATTATTGTTACGTAGCATTAGAATCCGTCACAGGTTCCGAGGGTAACGTTTCACAACTGGATCAGGAGACCAGCACATAAAATTTGTACAGGAGTCTCTGTGTAAATATTCCGATTGCTCATATCTTGCCAATGTGCTATTGATTTTGAGCTTGAATTAAAATCTGTTGAAACTTTTTTATCTCTTTGTTATTTTGGATAACATTGGTTTCAGTTTGAAAATGTCGTAAGCAGTTAGGTCAGTATCAAAATGCGTTCTGATGCTTTAATGCAGTCAGGCGCATCACGTCTACACTACATGTAAGTTAAAGTTGATTGATTTTTTATAAGTGAAAGTGGGCTTGAGATAATTAACGCAGTTTAATTGAACAATCATGTACTATTTATTTCCAAAAATCCACTACTATTTCAGGAGCTACGCCGCTCTCCGATTTACGGTGATGCAGCAGTTTCCTCTGGCGAACCCGTGTAACGCAGTCCAAGGTTGGGCTAACGTTAGAGATGCTACAGCTTCATTCTTTACATGTGACAGCGTATGGCCTCACTCTACTGAAGATCGACCATACTTTCTATATGCCACGGGGGACACGATGGGATCCTTCAACAATAAATCAGGTAGACATTAACACACTATTAAACTAGTGTTTTTAAGTCTGTGACAAGGAGTTGTCTTTCCTCATTCCAAAATATGTTTAAATGAAAGTTTTCTGATGAAAGTTATCTACGCTTCAGATTGATGGTATCATTTCACTATTGGGGATATATTAAGGCAAAATTCGGTCTAAAGGGAGTCTATCTATCTGTCAATACAGCCTAAGTTAAACTCAATAGATTTGTTTTAATGAAAATGGCGATAACCTCAGACAATCCTAGCAAAACCACCCCTTGGTTGGACGCCACAGTTATTGAACTCTTCGATTACCCCTTTGATGATTAAATTACCTTTTCCGTTGTCAATTATATTTTTATAACTATTTTACAGATTACTATGATAAGCCGAACAGTATATCATGACTGTCGCTAAGATTATTTGTATTCGTGTATAAAATGGCCGGGCCCATCAATATTTCCATCGTCTCCTGTATTCGAGACGAGCCCATTAATATTTCTATCGTTTTCTGTATTTAAGATCAGTAATGATATCTTTGTGTGTTTGAAAGAATGGAAATAGCAGTATTGGAACAACACAGTGTATGAATTTCAGTTAACTTGGTTAAAACTTGAAAATTTTTCCCAAATCACCAAATCATATCAGAACATGATCTGAGCAAAGTTTGAGTTGACTTAAAACACCAAGCAGACCATAAACCGATAGATCACTAAAGAACAGTGGACCTGGCAACAAAACCTACACATGCTTATGTGCAAAAAATGAGACGCAATCTCAGTATGACCTTAAATCCGTTTAATTTTTATCCTTTTTTGTGTTCAGAGGTGGCGAAGGCTGACAGTATGGCAATATTTTTACAAGGTAAGTTGTACACACATATTCAATTATTCAATTCTCGTCTAGTTGTTTTATCTGATTCTTGGATTTGAGTTTCGCGCTACATATAATAAGGAATGAAATGCAATCTACAAGAAATGATCAGCATTTCCTATGCTTTTCATCCTTCTTATATTTATGAAAAAACAACAACTTTACTTCTTTTAAGAGTAATCTCCCTTGATGAGGCATTTAACTTATCTTTACACGGAATACAGTTGCAGGACTCTGTAGCAGTTCAGGGATCCATTCCTGCAGTATTTAGTTTCATATCAATGTAAACATTCTATCTTCAAAAAAACATAAATTTGCACATTATTATAAATCTATTTCACTTTGTTAACAGTATGGGACATGGTGTTTAAAGGTGTAGCCAACCAGGAAACATTCCTATGGTACATCTGGATGTCAGGACAGACACGAAACGCAAACAGTACGGACGTCAAGACGTTGACAACATCTAGTCTTCAGACCTACAAATCAACCGTGGTTAATTCCTGGGCCTCTTACAGTATAGACAGGGTAAATCATGTATATAACTTAGAACATCGTGTTATCAAAGTATAGACAGGGTAAATCATGTATATAACTTAGAACATCGTGGTCTCACAGTATAGACAGGGTAAATCATGTATATAACTTAGAACATCGTGGTCTCACAGTATAGACAGGGTAAATCATGTATATAACTTAGAACATCGTGGTCTCACAGTATAGACAGGGTAAATCATGTATATAACTTAGAACATCGTGGTCTCACAGTCCAGACAGGGTAAATCATGTATATAACTTAGAACATCGTGGCCTCACAGTATAGACAGGGTAAATCATGTATATAACTTAGAACATCGTGGTCTCACAGTCCAGACAGGGTAAATCATGTATATAACTTAGAACATCGTGGTCTCACAGTATAGACAGGGTAAATCATGTATATAACTTAGAACATCGTGGTCTCACAGTATAGACAGGGTAAATCATGTATATAACTTAGAACATCGTGGTCTCACAGTCCAGACAGGGTAAATCATGTATATAACTTAGAACATCGTGGTCTCACAGTATAGACAGGGTAAATCATGTATATAACTTAGAACATCGTGGTCTCACAGTCCAGACAGGGTAAATCATGTATATAACTTAGAACATCGTGGTCTCACAGTCCAGACAGGGTAAATCATGTATATAACTTAGAACATCGTGGTCTCACAGTCCAGATAGGGTAAATCATGTATATAACTTAGAACATCGTGGTCTCACAGTCCAGATAGGGTAAATCATGTATATAACTTAGAACATCGTGGTCTCACAGTCCAGATAGGGTAAATCATGTATATAACTTAGAACATCGTGGTCTCACAGTATAGACAGGGTAAATCATGTATATAACTTACACATCGTGGTCTCAACATCGTGGTCTCACTGGGTAAATCATGTATATAACTTAGAACATCGGGTAAATCATGTATATCACTTAGAACATCGTGGTCTCACAGTATAGACTGGGTAAATCATGTATATAACTTAGAACATCGTGGTCTCACAGTATAGACAGGGTAAATCATGTATATAACTTAGAACATCGTGGTCTCACAGTATAGACAGGGTAAATCATGTATATAACTTAGAACATCGTGGTCTCACAGTATAGACAGGGTAAATCATGTATATAACTTAGAACATCGTGGTAACACAGTATAGACAGGGTAAATCATGTATATAACTTAGAACATCGTGGTCTCACAGTATAGACAGGGTAAATCATGTATATAACTTACAACATCGTGTTATCACAGTATAGACAGGGTAAATCATGTATATAACTTAGAACATCGTGGTCTCACAGTATAGACAGGGTAAATCATGTATATAACTTAGAACATCGTGGTCTCACAGTATAGACAGGGTAAATCATGTATATAACTTAGAACATCGTGGTCTCACAGTATAGACAGGGTAAATCATGTATATAACTTAGAACATCGTGGTCTCACAGTCCAGACAGGGTAAATCATGTATATAACTTAGAACATCGTGGTCTCACAGTATAGACAGGGTAAATCATGTATATAACTTAGAACATCGTGGTCTCACAGTCCAGACAGGGTAAATCATGTATATAACTTAGAACATCGTGGTCTCACAGTATAGACAGGGTAAATCATGTATATAACTTAGAACATCGTGGTCTCACAGTATAGACAGGGTAAATCATGTATATAACTTAGAACATCGTGGTCTCACAGTCCAGACAGGGTAAATCATGTATATAACTTAGAACATCGTGGTCTCACAGTATAGACAGGGTAAATCATGTATATAACTTAGAACATCGTGGTCTCACAGTCCAGACAGGGTAAATCATGTATATAACTTAGAACATCGTGGTCTCACAGTATAGACAGGGTAAATCATGTATATAACTTAGAACATCGTGGTCTCACAGTCCAGATAGGGTAAATCATGTATATAACTTAGAACATCGTGGTCTCACAGTCCAGATAGGGTAAATCATGTATATAACTTAGAACATCGTGGTCTCACAGTCCAGATAGGGTAAATCATGTATATAACTTAGAACATCGTGGTCTCACAGTATAGACAGGGTAAATCATGTATATAACTTACAACATCGTGGTCTCACAGTATAGACAGGGTAAATCATGTATATCACTTAGAACATCGTGGTCTCACAGTATAGACTGGGTAAATCATGTATATCACTTAGAACATCGTGGTCTCACAGTATAGACTGGGTAAATCATGTATATCACTTAGAACATCGTGGTCTCACAGTATAGACAGGGTAAATCATGTATATCACTTAGAACATCGTGGTCTCACAGTATAGACAGGGTAAATCATGTATATAACTTAGAACATCGTGGTCTCACAGTATAGACAGGGTAAATCATGTATATAACTTAGAACATCGTGGTCTCACAGTATAGACAGGGTAAATCATGTATATCACTTAGAACATCGTGGTAACACAGTATAGACAGGGTAAATCATGTATATAACTTAGAACATCGTGGTCTCACAGTATAGACAGGGTAAATCATGTATATAACTTAGAACATCGTGGTCTCACAGTATAGACAGGGTAAATCATGTATATAACTTAGAACATCGTGGTCTCACAGTATAGACAGGGTAAATCATGTATATAACTTAGAACATCGTGGTCTCACAGTATAGACAGGGTAAATCATGTATATAACTTCGAACATCGTGGTCTCACAGTATAGACAGGGTAAATCATGTATATAACTTAGAACATCGTGGTCTCACAGTATAGACAGGGTAAATCATGTATATAACTTAGAACATCGTGGTCTCACAGTATAGACAGGGTAAATCATGTATATAACTTAGAACATCGTGGTCTCACAGTATAGACAGGGTAAATCATGTATATAACTTAGAACATCGTGGTCTCACAGTATAGACAGGGTAAATCATGTATATAACTTAGAACATCGTGGTCTCACAGTATAGACAGGGTAAATCATGTATATAACTTAGAACATCGTGGTCTCACAGTATAGACAGGGTAAATCATGTATATAACTTAGAACATCGTGGTCTCACAGTATAGACAGGGTAAATCATGTATATAACTTAGAACATCGTGGTCTCACAGTATAGACAGGGTAAATCATGTATATAACTTAGAACATCGTGGTCTCACAGTATAGACAGGGTAAATCATGTATATAACTTAGAACATCGTGGTCTCACAGTCCAGACAGGGTAAATCATGTATATAACTTAGAACATCGTGGTCTCACAGTCCAGACAGGGTAAATCATGTATATAACTTAGAACATCGTGGTCTCACAGTCCAGATAGGGTAAATCATGTATATAACTTAGAACATCGTGGTCTCACAGTCCAGATAGGGTAAATCATGTATATAACTTAGAACATCGTGGTCTCACAGTATAGACAGGGTAAATCATGTATATAACTTAGAACATCGTGGTCTCACAGTATAGACAGGGTAAATCATGTATATCACTTAGAACATCGTGGTCTCACAGTATAGACTGGGTAAATCATGTATATAACTTAGAACATCGTGGTCTCACAGTATAGACTGGGTAAATCATGTATATCACTTAGAACATCGTGGTCTCACAGTATAGACAGGGTAAATCATGTATATAACTTAGAACATCGTGGTCTCACAGTATAGACAGGGTAAATCATGTATATAACTTAGAACATCGTGGTAACACAGTATAGACAGGGTAAATCATGTATATAACTTAGAACATCGTGGTCTCACAGTATAGACAGGGTAAATCATGTATATCACTTAGAACATCGTGGTCTCACAGTATAGACAGGGTAAATCATGTATATAACTTAGAACATCGTGGTAACACAGTATAGACAGGGTAAATCATGTATATAACTTAGAACATCGTGGTCTCACAGTATAGACAGGGTAAATCATGTATATCACTTAGAACATCGTGGTCTCACAGTATAGACAGGGTAAATCATGTATATAACTTAGAACATCGTGGTCTCACAGTATAGACAGGGTAAATCATGTATATAACTTAGAACATCGTGGTCTCACAGTCCAGATAGGGTAAATCATGTATATAACTTAGAACATCGTGGTCTCACAGTCCAGATAGGGTAAATCATGTATATAACTTAGAACATCGTGGTCTCACAGTATAGACAGGGTAAATCATGTATATAACTTAGAACATCGTGGTCTCACAGTATAGACAGGGTAAATCATGTATATCACTTAGAACATCGTGGTCTCACAGTATAGACTGGGTAAATCATGTATATAACTTAGAACATCGTGGTCTCACAGTATAGACTGGGTAAATCATGTATATCACTTAGAACATCGTGGTCTCACAGTATAGACAGGGTAAATCATGTATATCACTTAGAACATCGTGGTCTCACAGTATAGACAGGGTAAATCATGTATATAACTTAGAACATCGTGGTCTCACAGTATAGACAGGGTAAATCATGTATATAACTTAGGACATCGTGGTCTCACAGTATAGACAGGGTAAATCATGTATATAACTTAGAACATCGTGGTAACACAGTATAGACAGGGTAAATCATGTATATAACTTAGAACATCGTGGTCTCACAGTATAGACAGGGTAAATCATGTATATAACTTAGAACATCGTGGTCTCACAGTATAGACAGGGTAAATCATGTATATAACTTAGAACATCGTGGTCTCACAGTATAGACAGGGTAAATCATGTATATAACTTAGAACATCGTGGTCTCACAGTATAGACAGGGTAAATCATGTATATAACTTAGAACATCGTGGTCTCACAGTATAGACAGGGTAAATCATGTATATAACTTAGAACATCGTGGTCTCACAGTATAGACAGGGTAAATCATGTATATAACTTAGAACATCGTGGTCTCACAGTATAGACAGGGTAAATCATGTATATAACTTAGAACATCGTGGTCTCACAGTATAGACAGGGTAAATCATGTATATAACTTAGAACATCGTGGTCTCACAGTCCAGACAGGGTAAATCATGTATATAACTTAGAACATCGTGGTCTCACAGTATAGACAGGGTAAATCATGTATATAACTTAGAACATCGTGGTCTCACAGTCCAGACAGGGTAAATCATGTATATAACTTAGAACATCGTGGTCTCACAGTCCAGACAGGGTAAATCATGTATATAACTTAGAACATCGTGGTCTCACAGTCCAGATAGGGTAAATCATGTATATAACTTAGAACATCGTGGTCTCACAGTCCAGATAGGGTAAATCATGTATATAACTTAGAACATCGTGGTCTCACAGTATAGACAGGGTAAATCATGTATATAACTTAGAACATCGTGGTCTCACAGTATAGACAGGGTAAATCATGTATATCACTTAGAACATCGTGGTCTCACAGTATAGACTGGGTAAATCATGTATATAACTTAGAACATCGTGGTCTCACAGTATAGACTGGGTAAATCATGTATATCACTTAGAACATCGTGGTCTCACAGTATAGACAGGGTAAATCATGTATATAACTTAGAACATCGTGGTCTCACAGTATAGACAGGGTAAATCATGTATATAACTTAGAACATCGTGGTCTCACAGTATAGACAGGGTAAATCATGTATATCACTTAGAACATCGTGGTCTCACAGTATAGACAGGGTAAATCATGTATATAACTTAGAACATCGTGGTCTCACAGTATAGACAGGGTAAATCATGTATATAACTTCGAACATCGTGGTCTCACAGTATAGACAGGGTAAATCATGTATATAACTTAGAACATCGTGGTCTCACAGTATAGACAGGGTAAATCATGTATATAACTTAGAACATCGTGGCCTCACAGTATAGACAGGGTAAATTATGAATATAACTTAGAGTTACCAATCAATGCAAATGTTGAATGAGATAAAGTTGACCCAGACAATGATATAGACTGCGTCATACAGCCTTTTGTCCAAGTAGGACTCATAAATTGTCCTTAAGCCTGAATATTTTGAAAAATAAGAGTCGATTTAGGAAAATTCAAAATTAATCGGATCAGATATAAAACTTTAGATGGAGATGCGCAATTCCTCTTTATTCAGTGAATTCCGTAATATCCTTACTTATGTACAAACAAATCGATCCAATGAGGCTTCCTATTGGTTCTGTTAATCAATTGTTCAAAACTATATCACAGCTTCTAACTACCATCCATGACACAACATACGGGCTAACGTCCTAATGTAATAATGTTATCTTTAAACGTGGGTTTTGAATTTTGAAAAGTCATTTCTATTTAAATTGTGTTTTTTAGACAGAACATTGCCCCTTTCAATTCTAGATTGAAGAAAATGTTTCCTTAGTTTGGAATTTAAAAAAAAGTTTTATTACGACTGTATAACACTTGATATTGGTCTATTTTAGGTGAAGTTCGCCATGTTTGTCAGTGGTTATGAGGCAGCATTTGTTGTATTCGACGGGACAAACACGGACCAGAACTCATGGTTTGCGCACGAAAAACTGCTGTACTCGTCTTATACAGACATAAAAGACGCCAAGGCAGTGTGTTCTATAGAAGGGTAGGTAAAAATGATTTTTTACAAGTGCGAGGCTTTAAAATTGGGTTATTGTATTATTTGTCTGATACCGCAGTAAGTTCATGAGATCAAAACGTTATCTGTTTGATGAGATAATCTCTGTCCTATTTATAACAATATCCTAGAGACGACGATCTCATCACATCACGGGTCATTTTATTACGAATTGTAATGTGAGGGTGCTATAACCGGAACCAACCAATGTCCATACGCATGTAAACACAACGCCACAAAGATGCCGTTAAATGTGTTCGCTTTTTTCCGATGTGGGCACGTGAGTATGATGTCAAAACTTATGGCATGGTATTGTCACCAAATTTAGACAAGGTTACTAGTCAAAACAGTCTAATGTCATCATCTGACATAAGATGAGAATCGTGTAGAGGTTATGGTTTGACGGGTGATTAAGAATCTGTTACTTGATTCGAGTACGATCTGTTAAAGAGATTACTTTACAAATCCTTCCACGGATTTCTACTAGAAAAAAGAATCCCGTTTTCATTACACTTTTAGAGAGAGAGAGAGAGAGAGAGAGAGAGAGCACTTTTAGAGAGAGAGAGAGAGAGAGAGAGAGAGAGAGAGAGAGAGAGAGAGAGAGAGAGAGAGAGAGAGAGAGAGAGAGAGAGAGAGAGAGAGAGAGAGAGAGAGAGAGAGAGAGAGAGAGAGAGAGAGAGAGAGAAAAGAAACATTTTAATCAGTTTCCATGTCCACACTATCTCCCCTATATATACATGCCCATATCCAGTTTCAGTCTATCACAGCATGGTTTTTGTGTTTTATATTGATATTCGATCTCGTGTTGGACCTAATGCCAACAGTATACACTTGCGCGAGTCAGCATCACTATAAAAGCATCGTATGTTATATTCCGGGTTATGAGACCAGTGACCGAACGAAGCTGTGTTCGATTTGTCTGCAATCATGTTCAGACATCCATGATTACAAATCGGAACAAACCATACTCGCAACTAGCTAAGACTTAATATGGTGTGTGAACTAATATGAATACTTAACTTTGTTTTGATTAAATGATCCATACACCCAAAGACGAACAAAGTTTCACGATTGAATTTCAAACGTAGAATTATCTAATACACTGGGATGTTATAGCAGGTACGGTATTGTTGAGAGTTTTATATTTTGTTCCAAACTACTCAAGAACGTGGTAACTGCGTTAAATGGAATTTGTCCTGGTATACAGATGATCCCATCGTCAAGAGTTTCAGGAAAACCGAATTTCCTGACAATCACACCATCCCGTATTCCTTGTAACTATGATTATTGATGAAGTGGTACATTTCTTACTTTATGCTGTTTTGTGGTTCCATGTGTTGTAATTGTGTATTTAAAACATATTAAATGTGTCTTTGTTCACTGATGATAGCAAAACTAGGGGATTTGCAAAAACGGCATAACTAAGAAAACTCCAAATAAAGTGGGTAAATTGGAATCGCAATTAAATACCAGGATATATCGTCAAAATCACGTGATCTTGACGTCAGCTGCATTTAACCTTGAATATCAGCGTGTCAGTGTACTCAATAACATCGTTAGAACGATATCTTTCATTTCATTACACAAATCTACAATATATTCGGTTTTATTATCTGGTTCCCTGATATGCCATGTCGAGTATGTTGGTAACATCTAAATCGTATATTAGTTTCCCATATGTACGTATGTCACGGTATTGAAGTGATTTTATAGAAAGTGGATAAAACCAGCAACTATCAGAACACAAGAATAACGAGAATCGATATATATATTGTAATTAACACATTTGATCATGTCACAACATCGTTGTGAAGACCAACAAGACTGCAGTCGTCACAACTTCTAAAACGCATTTTTCGTTTTCGAACAGAACAATTAAGCAATTACAGTGTGTGTTTGTCCCGACACGAGGCAGGCAACATAACACGCCACTGTTTCCTAGAAAATGTTGGTACACAGTAGAATCATATATATATGTACATTGTACCATCACGGTAGTCAATCTACTTCCCATCAAAACCGTCTACCACTTAGCGTAGGTTCCGTCACGTGGTACGTGTGCACAAGCCGTGTATACTGGTAAGTGTATATGTATGATAGAACACTGTCATTAGTATTGACAGTTGTAGAAGTTTGCAGGAATATGTAATAGCGAGTCACCATGCTCTCTTTATTATTTCTTCTTGCATTTACATGTATATTTTCTAGACGTTGGTTTTTTATCATTTTGATAGACTTCCCACTACAGAACTATTTCCCGAAACCGTCTAGAGAAATATACCGCTGATCAATGTATTGTGGTGTCATCTGATGAATCTTTAATTCGGGAACAAAATCATTGTAAAACACATCAAATCCCCCATGTGTCAGCAAGTATGACAAGGAGGTTTGACTTCTCTGAAACATGATACGCTTTTATTTAGGAACGGGAAATGTCTGATACTAAGCCAATGTGTTTTTGGTTGTACACAAGGTGAATATACAAATTTTGATTAAACAGAATCCCGTGATAGATCGTGTTAGATTACTTACGAGCAATAAACATGTTAGCGCAGTCAATCAAAGGTTCCGGATAACATTAGATGAGAGCACGTAGGCGGAGCGTCCCATTACAGCTGTCACGAGCTGAATAATTACCATGTTAATTTCCGCCAGAGGGCGTTAAAATCAGTGAAAGACGTCACTAATCTGGCTTTCTAAACCATAAAGTATTTTGGTAGAAGTGCTTGAAATTTCCCCACTATACAATAAAATGGCTCTTGTCGGAAGAGACCCAGCGTGTGCATTGGACTAATGCATTATAGGGCGTGTTCTCTTCATTGTTATGAACACGGTATTTACAGACTAGACTACAAACTACAATGAGCATTGAACATGTCGGTTTAGCAGAAACAACACGCCACTTTTGAGTTTCTTTTTTAACCTAATCTGTCACTCATTACCTTTGAGGTAACCTTGTTAAATGACATGCTGTCACCTGGAATGTTACCTTGGTAACACTGTGTTCTGAGATGTTTCCTTTGTCCTATTTCACTTATATACATGCACTTGAATCAAATGAGTGGTCACCATGGTCACGCATTTGATTACCGTGGCCACGTGGGATGCTGCTATTTATTTAGGACATCACATCTACTAGTAGTAGTGATTGTGTGATAAGAACTTCTATTTTATTCGCACTATCAACCCGAAGACAATGTTCCGGGAAATGTTGGCGCTTGGACACATACAAATGCGCAGAGCATGGTTAACATCAATTTAATTTTCGTCTTTGAGGATAGTTTTTTTTGACGCAGATATCAAGATATCTCTCTTGTCAATTATACATATAATGGCAGGACATGTAGTGAATACATGCACAGCCCTGATAATGATAATCAATTACACACTAATGTTATATACACGATTTGACATCAAACCGCATTTATCAACAACAAAATGATGAGAGAGCAATTTTGAGAAACTCAAACCTTCCATCAAAGTAAGGTCCTATTCCTCGTGGGATATGTGTACAGACCAGACGACAAAATAACGTTTCATTTTACCTTACCCTTATGTAATACCTGGTGTATAAATACAACAATATTTGTATTATGTTTGACAAAATGTCCAACTGGGACAAAGTAGCAGAATATGGACATGTCTATAACTATTCTATTAAATGCCATTATGAGACGTTTACAAACATTTCTTCGTGTCTGTCTGTTGCCACTGTACAGCATTGCGACCATTTAGTGCCTGTAGAATTATCCCATAATAGTTTGCTGATCAAAACACGAGCCAGCTCCGACAGGCGGCCTTGGTGCGCTGACAGGGGATAGCGTTAGGACGCATTTATATCCCTACAACATGCTAGATTTATGGCGATCTGTAATCCGTTTCTAATAGTAGATTATTCCTGATCCGTATTTGTAATGTCCGGATCTGAGATTGTAATTAGACACGACCCACGTCCGTTTGATGCTTTTCCTATTAGTTTGGAACCCTAGTCCTGTCGCAGCGTATCTGTGCCCCGAGTTTGATGTCCGCAGCGCACTGGCGGTTCTTGTTCTTATAAATCGAATATGGGTCTGTTCCAGAACAAGGATCTACATTACAACGCTTAACACAGATATTGTTCCTTCTTTTTAGGTAGATATGGCTTCAAGGACCACACAAACCGCAATTTACTGGTGTTATATTTGAATCCAATATCACAAGGATACACTGACATATTGTTTTCATATCAATGCTTTCACGCTGTTATTTAGTAGTAATATGGCACTAACTTAGACAGACTTTCAGCTAAATTAAGCAACGGCATTTTAGAATGCGGGAAATTCCTTCAGCGTGAAGGACCCTTCCTGTTAGATGCGTCACATTTTGTCAGATAATCCTCATTCTGTTTGTTGAACTTCTCTTTATTGGACGGGTCTATTTGTTTAACATGTTCCCTATTTTAGTCATGTTCGACTATCTTAGAAATATTTTATTTATAATTTTTGTCGAAACTTTTTTTTTCTGATATGTTCCCTGGCGTTCAGTAAATCGATGTATGTCGGATGTGTTCGCCTTTTAAGGTATACATAATGATAAATCGGAAGTCTTTGTCTGGGGTTTTAATTCTTCACAACAGTATACAGCGTATTACGACGAAATTCACTGCTGTTGGGGTCCTCGAAGGACACGTTGATACTGCCATCACACTCGATTGGCTTATTATTTACACATTAAGTAATCCTTACCGCTTACTCGTTTAAGATGAATATTAAGCGCAGAATAATTGCTGAAACAGGGATAGCTAAACTCGGTCAAGACGCAATAGAGTGAAAATTAACATAAATTATGATTGTATCATAAACAACAAAATTTCGGAATAAACTCAAAATTGATGATCGTGTAACGGGGATCATCGCACAAGTACAATGAGATTAAGACCAGGACATAACGTTCTGAAGAGTAAGCGCCCTTTGCTTTATCGACAACACCCGGCATGTAAATGAAGTTTG